TCCTACAGCTGTTTTCAGAATTCTGTTATTTAGCAGGAAATATTTTGAAAAAATATTCAGGAAATAGTTTTGCATAATGAAGCATTAATAGGACAAAACCCCTAAGAACTCTATAGCCTATATATATAAATGAATTATGCACAGAAAACTGAGTTAGGGAAGTATATGCATTACCTACTTAAACTGTAAAATATCATTCATATTTAGGTTTATAAACACAAGGGTTGGGAACTATTGAGTTCTTTTGGCTAAAGCCCAATATTGGCCTTATTTCAGTTTAATTGGAAGAGGATCTTGAATTCATCTTCTCCATGAGATATCAGGAACCTGGATTTCTGTTTGTACCAAAGGTTAATAAGAAATGTGTCTGCAAAAGTCAAACAGCATTAAATACCAAAAACTGATTATTATTCTGCAGGAGTTGTTCTGTCATTCATAATCTCTCCATGCTCCAACCTTCCACAGCTAATCTTTAATGGATGACATGCAAGAAGGAAAAATAACATCTAAAAAGGGACTCTAAAGTGAGCTTTGAAGAAATGGAAAATACTTTTCTTCTGTGCTAGAAGTTATTGCCACCCGAAGTTTATTTCTGGCAAGATTACTTATTTCCTCTTACTTTATGGGATATTAAATCAAACTAATAGCTAAGCTAATAGCCACTTGGATATTTGTTTTCACTTTTGCTATTAAAACTATTGCATATGCATTCAGTAATTATTTTTCAAGTTAATTTAGGAAACTTCAAATAATGTTCATGAACATTTCCACACCATATTCAAGAATTCCAAAATACCACAAATGTTAATTCTCAACATTTTTGTAAAAACAGACCTGAAAAAAGGGACTTCATTGTAGGGATATGGCCATAGTTTCCAAGAGACTGAAAGCTGTATAACATATACAACAGTATTAGAAGTACTGCTTTCCCCTTTTTCCACACTGTATTTCCTATCATTACCCTGGTCTTTCAGAGAGCATCTGCAGAATGCTAATACAGTTTTCAGGCATTAAAGGTGGTGTGCAACACCTAACAGACCTAGCAGGGCTGGACTCAATCAGTTGACCTTGATTTAAAAAAGTATTAAATTTTGGTAACATTACTATTAGATATTGGCAAAAAAGCCCCCAAAATAGCCCTTGCTACAGAGGTTTAACGAGAAATATTTTTTATTATATTTTCCTTCAGAATTATTCTTAATCTCAATATATAGCACTGTGATAGCAACAAAAATATTCCGAGAGCTGAGGCTCTGATGCCAGCTATATCTTGTTGCAGTAATGGTGGGAGTTACTGTGAGAATACCAGGGCTTTAATATTTTTTCCAATTTAGACAGGCTACCACTATGCTCTACAATTCTCACTTACACTCAACCAGCTCTTTCCTCTAAAAGTTCCTATATACCTGTCCTGGTTTCAGCTGGGATAGAGTTAAAGTTCTTCCTAGTGCTGTGTTTTGGATTTAGTACGAGAATAATGTTGATAACACACTGATGTTTTCAGTTGTTGCTAAGTGCCTTGTCAAGGACAGCTCCATGCTCTACCAAACGCAGAGACTGGGAGGAGGGAGCACAGCCAGGACAGCCAGCCCAGCTGGCCAATGGGGTATTCCATACCATGTGACGTCATGCTCAGTATATGAATGGTAGGCGTGTTCCAGGAAGTAGCGATCGCTACTTGGTTATTGGTCAGTGCGGGTGGTGAGCAATTGCATTGTGCATCACTCATTTTGTATATTCTATCATTATTATTATTTTCCCTTCTCTGTTCTATTAAACTGTCCTTATCTCAACCCACGAGTTTTTCTCACTCTTACCCTTCCGATTCTCTCCCCATTCCCCTGGGGGGGTGCGGGAAGTGAGTGAGCGGCTGCGTGGTATTTGGCTGCCTGCCAGGTTAAACCACGACAATACCCCCTGTATAATTCTTCTGTAAGGCAAAAATGAAGTCACTTATGTCCATCCAAAGTGAGAGCTGTTCTCTCTATTAGTTCTTTTGAAGACGTATTCCTTTGCAACGTCTCCATCCTTATCTTCCAGTCTGTCCTCAGAAGATGAGTGCTCTTTCTCCCTTTCTCCTCCCATAGAGTGCACCCATTCCCTTTTCTGTTCAACATATGAAATTCTGCGGTCCCACATTTCAAGATTTGTCTGTTCTTCATGCCCAGTTCACATGGGTGTTTCCCTTTTTTCCTTACATTATCCTAGTCTTAGTTCTTTTATGATGTGCTCTCCCCTTGATTTTCCCAATGTTGCCTCTATCTCTATTGTTGTTCGCTTCATGATGAGGAGTGAAACTAATGGTACCTTCTGACATTGGCTTATAATGGGAGGAAATCCAACAGAAGAATAATGAAGAAACAGCAGGAACCTATGGCAACTATGACCACCAGAAACAATAGTCTCTAATGCTTAAAAGCCTGCAACCAAAACTGCAAATTCCCTAGCCGTAGCTACCTGACACAGAGATAGGGACCCAACGAAGTTCTAAAATCCATTTTCCAGGCTAGTAAAATTTAAAAATAAATACCTTCTGAAAATAAGTTATTTATTGCACACAATATTAAACATTCTCTTCCATCATGTATATCTTCTGCCTTAAGTCTACTTTTTCTTATTCTCTCATGAAGCATTTCACAAATTTACACTTCTCCTCTTCACTTCTTCCTCTGAACAAAAAATCATAAAGCGACAAGCTTTGGGTTATTTGTTTCTGAAGACTGGTGTAGCTTCATTTTAAAATGGCATTTATCTTCAACTTTTCTGTTCTTTCCATGGGACTTGTTTAGGTAAAACCCATCAATTAGGGTTACATTTTAAAAAGGAATTGTAATATTCCTCAAAGTAGAAACATTTTTATGGTGTATCTTTCTGATGTTTTTTACAATAGAATTTTGTGGAGTCATTTTCTTATCATAAAGTCAGTACTAAGTAATAATAAAAATGCAAACACCCATATTTACAAGCTTCACTCTATCATGTGTTATACACTGCAGTAATTAAACATTAACTAGCAACATGAAATCACAGCAGCATGTGTTCTCCTCTCCTCAAAGGACTTAACACAAGGGGAAAAAGTTTTTCCTTAAACACACTGAGTCTTCTTCATTAGGTTCTGCTTGTCCATTAGAACTCTCCCCAAGGCTTTTATGAGAGAGAGACACATAGACCTCCACAAATTCAGTTTGGTTCACATCATTCCAGATTTCAAAACATTATCCAAACTTGGTAACATTCTTAGAACTGTAAGACAGGAAGCAAAAAACCCATGAAATATTAACGATGCTTCCTTTTTGCAAACAGCTTAAGTAGTAAGGAGCCTCTTGCCCTCTCACTCGGCATTTAAAGGATTTTATACTTCCTGAACTCGTAAAAGGAGAAAAAAGGGTTTTTTTTTTTAAAGGTCATCCTTATTACACATTATAGCTTTCATTAAAATTTGGCTTATTCTTCCTTTTAAAATGGAATAACTAGGTTAATTATTATATCCATATTCATGCCATACTGTTTTGAAGAGGATATTATGCTTAGGACATAATTAGAAAGTTTAAACAGTAATGTAGGAAAAAAAATTTACTAACAAATATTTCAACTGTATCCATAAAAATGAAACTAAACATGTTTTTGACACACCTTTTGACACATTTCTTTCCAGGTTTTAATGAGCAATGAACACCTATATCAAAGAGAATATTTCTCTATTATAGGTACAGAGGTAAAACACTGTGCAAATATCCAGGAACAAACACAAAACTTGGGATTCAATCCAAAGAATTTGCATTAGCTTTCGGCTGCTGGATATAAATATGATACGCAGTGTGGAATTTTTTTCTTCTGAAAATAAAGCAAGCAGTTTAAGTAAAATGACATAAGAATAAAATTATGCTTGTATTTCAATTTGTTTCCTGTTATGTAGATTAGATTTGCCTTTCCCTGCCTCCACAATAAAAAATCTAGGAACTCTCTCTTCCGCCTATAATATACACAGAATAGTGTATTCTCAGGAGTTTGACATTAAGTGGCAAGTCAGCCATCTGTTTTTTCAGCTGGAGAGTTTATTTTGTGTTCCATTTTCCTGAAGAGAGTTACTCCTTCCTTCAGTATCAATATTTTGGGGACAGGTATTAGTGCTATTAATACTATATAAAGCGTGTATGGTCTATGAGGACACAATTTTACCTAGCTCACACTTTATTTCTGAACAAATGATACGATGAACTTATAAAAGCACTCCCATTAATTTCTTTGAAACACTTGGAGGAAAAACCTCAGAGTATTTTTCATCCACTGGGTACACTGTACACACAGTCACTTTTCAAGAATAAAAATACGCAGCTTCATTACTTCAGAAATTTCCAAAATCGTAGAATACAAACTGTCTCCATTCTTGTATGTCTACCCAAAGAACAATTAACAACAAATATAAGCACGCATTCACTTTCAACTATAAACTTAAAAACCTTTCATTTTGGGAATTTGTATAAATTTCATTCACTAGAGATGTACCATTATCAGACAAAAATTTATTAAATATCAAAAGAACAGATTTTTCAAGAAAAGTGCGGGTCTCTAGTTGAGGTGAATGTGCAACTATCTCCATACACGGGGAGGGGGTAGTATTGCTCTGAACGAGCTAAAACAATAAGTGGTATTTGAACTGCTGGTTGAAAGGTAGAGGCACTGGTAATCATTATTTCCCCTTGTTTGTTCAGGACCTTCCAACAAAACAAACAACCTTTTTGTGATTGGATTGACATGGTGTTAACAATGCATTTAATGCCCAAATCAGTATGAATACAGGTAAAGCTCCTGCTAATACCAGTACCAGGATGTTAAAGCCACGTATTTTCTAAGCAACTCTAAACAGCCACACATAAAAAAAAAAGTCAAATCTTCCCTCCTTTAGCAAATAAAGCTAACATTCACTAGGCCACGTCATATAGCAACCGCGAGTACTGTATGAGCCATACAGCCATCTGTTAAACGCTTGCCTACTGTACCTGCAATCTTTTCTGCAATCTTAGCTTCTGTAGCTCTCTCTTGCAGTTCTAAGTCCAGTTTCATTGTCTTCAGCTCCTTGTCCTTTTCAGACAGCTTATCTTGAAGCTGAATTGAACAAATGGACAGTAAGATACTTATCTAGCTGAAACATTCAACCAGCTCTTTTAACCACAACAAAATTTTAAATAGTAGTTTCTTATCCCAAAATACAAACACTAAGCAATACAACAGAAGTTCAATTAACTATATTTATTTATTTAAAGGACAAATGTTAAAAATATCTTTTTTATCATCTGCCCTATCTTGCTCTGTGAGACAAGCAGCAATGTGTGTGCCATTATTTTTATTTGGGATTCTCTTCTTCAGGTATCACCAGCTGTGGTCCTTCTCGCTAAGGAAGTTCAGAATTACATGGAATTATAATGCAGGTGGTGTTTGCATGAATAGCCTATTTCCTACCAAGAGCACTGACATCACAGCCTGAAGAAACTGTGGTGTAAATGCATAATTTTTCATGTGCATCGCCAGATAGAAAACTGATATTCTTTCACATGTTGAGGCCTTTCTTTTAACTGTGAATTCACTAAATCTGATCTTGGACAGATATCTGAGCTTGCCATTGAATATTCAATGACACTTCATGGAAAGACTATAGACTTTTCTGTTATTTAGGTGCATGCAACTGCTACTAACTTTGAAAGCAATGGAGTGTGCAAGTAGGATGGAATTTTTTTCCCCTCAACAAAGAGTAGGTATCAGGGCACATTCATTATCTGGACTGCATGTACAGAAGCATGAGCTCTAGATTCTATTAATGAAATCCTGGCCTGGGTTTTGGTCCTCCTTGGTTTTCATCCATGATGCAAGAACGTATGTCACTGATTAAAAAGGTCAAAGGGTAGGATGAAAGATTTTTTTTAATTCCAGAGAAGCAGTAGTTAAACAGATACTAAGAATCCAAAATGACAAGAAAGCTATTGATTGGTGCACTAAAATAAATAACAAAACTAAATTAGGAACAGTTTAAAATGTACGTTTTGTAAGACAACCATAAAAGAGCAAACACTGTGATCTGAATATCTCAATTGTACCTTTTTATTTTTGGCCCTCAGAGTGTCCAATTCTTTTAAAAGGAACGCAGTTTCTGTTTTTCCACCTAAATCTGCAGCATCCTTCCATGAGGATATAAATTCAGGGAGCATCTTGTTAGCCTGCCTTTCTACGGTGCTGTGTTTAGAAGAAAAAAAAAAAAAGAAAGAAAAATAATGCAAACCCAGTTTCTCCCTCCCTTTCCCCAAAACAAAATACACAGAAATAATTTATCAAAATTCGTTAACCATTACACATGTATTAAATAGCCAGTAAAAGGGACGTCCTTCTATCACTTCTTAAATCTGTAATTCTGAAAAAAATCTGTAAACATGGAATAGTAAATAAATATACTACAGTGCTAAGGCATAAAACAGATAAATATAAATTGGCTATGAAGCCTATACACAGAAAACGCTTAAGGGAAGCCAATATTAAAAACCTGTGTTTAACATGGAGCGACAAAGTAATGAAACATTTGGGGATCAAATGGATGCTTAGGTTAAAAGAAACCAAATTCTTCAGTAGGATGGACAATTCCACATGAAGTGAAATGAAAATATCGAGAAGACAAGATCTAGGAGCTCATCTTGCAGAAATCTGTAAAATGATGGTGTTATTCTAAATATTATAACAGACAACAGGAATTCCATACTGTATAGCACTCACAGAGTTTTAAGATAACTTATCTAGCCATAGACAGGGAAAAATAAGACAAGATTCAATGGCCACAAAAATTCTGCCTCAAGGTAAGACGCTTATAAAACTCCTTGGCTATCCGTTGATACTCACAGATAAGTCAGATCTCACTTGTAAGATGGCAGCAAAATCAGTAGATGAATGGATTAGAAGGGGTATTAGCAAATATTTTTAACATTCACTTCCCATAAGTGTTTTCTATTTATAGGCTTCATAGCCAATGAGTCATAAGAAGTAGCCACAGAAAAGCTATACCTTCTGAACTCCTATTTCTACTGTATACATTATTTTCATTATGTGTAATTCACATCCTAGAAAGAAAAGGAAAGCTATCTGTTGCTCCAAAGAGTCATTCTCTTAGGTAGACAGTTGTTTGTACTCAGCTACCCCTTTCTTCACCTGTTTCCATTGGATTTATTTTCTCTATGGTTCTTTAAGAAGTAAGTTAACATCCGAACTCTGCAGGCAACCTAAAGCACATCAAATGTAGACAGCAGGGCGACTCACGTCAAAAAAGTACTTACTTAGTGTAATATAATGTATATAGTGTATATATGGGGTGGAAGAGTGCATAAACTGCTTGTCTTCACTTTCAAGATTCTTCAAAGCCTATTTAATCTTTGCTCTGTCTAGCAAATTTCATTCAGTATTGTTTTGAACTGCAAGTGATAGATGCCTCTGGATACTATTGCCCAGACAATACAAACCTCAAGCTTTTTTTGTGCATTTTCCATATCAGGAGATGCTTCCTATGAACAAGTTCGAATATACCTCATCATCACTTTCAAGCCCTCAAATGTTTTCTTTCTGATGTCTAAAAGAAAACTTGACAAGTCACATTGATGGTACACGAATGCAAATCAACACTGACTCAACATTTCCTGGGTCGTTCTGTATCAAGATATTTCCTCAGCTTATAGTCTAATTGCAATCTATTTGGGGAAGGACAGATTTTGTGCAGTTTATATAGTATCTACCACACTGAGGTTTTGGCCTATAGCTTTAGGATCCCACATGCAATGTATTTGCAGGTGAGATGGTTCAACATGCTGACTGCTGTGGGAGGTTAATCTCAGTGTTCAAGACCAGCCTGAATCCCAGTGCGAGTGGCACTGGTGAAGGGTAGGAGCAACAATCTTTGGCTGACTCTGTGCTGGGCTGTACTTAAGAACTCAGGATTATATTTGGCTTTAGTGCAGGATGCATTGCCCTAACAGCATATCTCAGTCCCTAATGCAAAAAAAGGCAACAAGCCAGGTGGAAAAGTACTATGGACTGGTTTTGGCCCAATGGGTCACCACTAAATCATGCTAAAGATAACAAAACCAGGTGTAGAATCTGCCAGACAGGTGAAGAATTAAGAGTGTATTTTTCAAAAGTACGTCATAGGGCTCTGCAGTCTTGATCCCATTTTCAAAAGCAACTCTGTCACTCTCAGTTAAGACTTGGGCTTCAGAATGCCTAAGTCGTTCAAAACTGGTAGCATGTTCCCTAGTCAGCTGGGTATACCTTCATATTTTGTGTCACATACAGCATGAGTGTTTATGTTTCTTAAGACAGAGGGCCATAGCTCAGTACGGAAGTTAATGACAATAAATGACCAAAATTAATGACAGAATAAAATCTTCAGAGTTTGTATTACACTTTTCAACCATATTTGCCCCTCCCAGATTCCTGTCACAGACTGCCTACAAGGTATTACAGCTCCTCATCTTTACTCTTCCAACTTCATCCAGACTTCACCCTGCTTTATTCCTGCTTCCCAGCTGCTCTATTCCTGCTTCCTACTCACTTCCACCCTGCTTCATTCCACTCATCATATTTAGGGTACACTGTGCTTGTTGTGTAAAGCCACAGATACTACTAGACTTTTAGATCATCTTTTCTAATTCTGTTTAGTATGCATTTTTAAAATTCTATGGAGAGATCACAATCACTGAAATACCTGCAGTGTGTCACATAAGCCATTGCCATGATCGTATTTTCTATCAGTGCTAGAGATTACAGTGGTGAAATGCTGCATTCCACAAGCAAAGAAGGGCAGATATGGCGAGCCTAAGTAAAAAGCTGACTTACTGATCCTCAGTCAGGAAGTAAACTTCCCTCTCTTTATCCAAAAATCCGTATGTATATTGTCTACAATTTGAACCTAGAAAAACTGTATATAGGGATATTTGGTTTTACCTTGATTCTTCAGGACTGGAATTACAATCATTTGTGGCTCCTCTTCTTTGACTGGTTACTGACAAATCTGAAAGTTTCAGTGCTTCAGTTTCTGCCTGGATGAAAAATTCTGGGTTTTTCTGAGAATTCTGATGAAACTGAAACTCAACACAAAAGTCTTTTTTCCGTTCCAGAATGTGTGTATCTAATTGGAAATAGAAGTAAACACATTTTTTTTCATTTGGAAAAAGAAGAACAAACTTGAGATTTCTCATTCGAAAATGGCTTGCTATATTCTTATTTGTAGCAGAAAAGAGAAAGTACTCTAGTTTCAGATTCGCATCTTCCTCATCCCTCTAAGGAATGAAAACTGTGTTACAGATGTAGGAGTTACAACCTATTTACTGGATTTTTCTCATGGAAACTTGAAAAATTCATCACCATTTCCTAATCCCTCTTCCCCTTAAATGACTACTTAAAATAATGCTGACCCTAGGAAATTGTCTACCTATCTTTTGTAAAAATCAGCTCTACCCTAGTGAGACATGATGAATTCATGCTGTAGACAGGTTTTTCAAATCCATTTTGGCTACAAAAGGAGTATCAGCAAGCTGTAATTAGCAACAACAAATTTAAGGCCCCATTATTCACTCCTGGAGAGTGTAAGGTACAGGCTCATACAACTAAAGAACTTGAAGAATGCAAAGCACAAATTGTGCCAAAGGGAAAAATTATCTGATTAAAACGTTGAGTGTGATAGTTCCCTTAAGCTTGGCTACTAGATATTTTTAGGACATATTTCTGATATCAAGGTATTTAAATGAAAGAAAGACCTACATACCATGAATGTTCTTTCATGAAGTAAGAATAAGAAAGTTTTAATTATAGAACTATATTAAAAAATGAGGAGGAAGAAGCCTAAAAAGCTGCAAATGGAAAAAAGTGCATATATTCTTCACTCTTTCATTTAGATTAGTAGAGAACAAACACTGGAGCTTTTCCTTATTTAATAAAATTAGTGTTTCCAAACATTTTGGATAAATTACACAGTATACATTCTTTGATCCAACTTATTATTTCCTCTTCAAAAATAATCAGAAACTGTCTATACAGTTGCAATCATCTACAAATAGCCCAAAATTACGCATCAATCAGTATCAAGGTGTTATGCTGCATATAAGACACAAAAGCACAGATTCCAAGTGAAAAATACTGAAGACTCTTTCAAAAATCTGTTGCAATAGATTCCTCTTTCCTTGAAAAAGGAAAGACACAGCCAATGGCACAGGAAACATCCCGAGGGCACAGAGGGATGACTTGTGGATTGGCTGGAGTCAGTTTAACAAGTTCCCATCCAAAGCTATGTGTTACTACCTTGAGGAAAAAGTTACTGTACCCGCTGTTCATCTGTATTCTTATCTACTTCAGCACAAATCCACTTGAATCCACTCTACCATTCCTCTCAACTATAACCACTGATTTTTGTACTAGAGGAACAACAGTCAACAGTACATCAGAATCTTTGTTTCTGAGCAGTAATAAACATGTGGGGATCATAACTTGATAAAACATTCGTTAACAAGTATAACCTAACACTACTTTCAGTACTGTGACTGAAATGTGTTCCTCAGATCATTTCACAGCTAATGCAGAAACTGAACACAGCCCACAGCCACCCAGATTCTTTGAGCAAAAGTACGCTGTTGTTCACTGGCTCGAAATCCTGCAGGTTGTTGAGCAGAGATCTCCTTTTAAGTGCTGCTACATTTTAAAACTGGATTCAACCTTTTGCTCCTCCTTACAGTAAGTAGCAAGGATGTCTAAAGAAATAGGCATTAAACAATTCACTACATATACTCTAAGAACCTGCCCCAACTTAGGAGTGGCAACATATAAGGGCAAAATTCCTCTCCAGTTAGTACTATCTGAAAACTAACCTAGTCTGAATTTCAATACTTGCAAAGCTTTTTACAGGTAGGCATACACTTGGCTGAGATGTGTTTCCCATCTGATTTATATTATGAAGAACTGCCTATCAAACATCATCCCGTCCACTTCTCCCATTTCAGATGCAGTGATCTCTGTGTGTGTGTGTGTGTGTATATATACATGTATATATATATATACATTTGCAAATTCTGCTCTCACACGCTGAAGGGGAAATGCAACTCTTCACTTGCCCTTACAACTTTTCCTCCCCTTCTTCTCTAGGGCATCAACATTTTCTATAAGCCATATAGAAAGTGCCTCAGGTGAAGTGTGTTGCATTCTGTGGAAGAATTCAAGCACAAGATATCTGTTGCAATAACCAGTGACCATATTGCCATGAAACTTTGTTCCTTGTTTAGGATTACTGTACTCTCCTTTGGCCCACATTATATGAAAGATTTGGAGAAAAAAAACCTTCTCACTCCAGAATGCTAAGAAGATTAGATGACATTAGCTACCACAGTTACACTGGGACAAATCAAAAAAGGGATTCTACCCCTTTAGCATGAGAGTAATCAACTGAATAAACTTTTCTTCTTTTTCAGAGTTCCTGTGTTTTGAATTTGCTGCTTTTAGTACCAGGACTCTTTAAAGAGAGTTCACAGAATCGTTGCAGTTGGAAGGGACCACTGGAGATCATCTAGTCCAGCCCTTCTGCTCAAGCAGGGTCACCCAGAGCAGGTTGCCCAGGACTACGTCCAGATGGCTTTTGAATAGCTCCACACGCAGAGACTTGACAACCTCCCTGGGCACCCTGTGCCAGTGTTTGATCACCCTGATAGTAAAAAAAATTGTTTTCTTGTATTCAGACAGAATTTCATGTGTTTTAAGTTCTGCTCATTGACTCTTGTCCTGTCAATGGGTACCACCGAAAAGAGTCTGGCTTCTTCTTCTTCATTCCCTCCCATCAGGTATTATTCATATTGATTAGACCCACTCCCTCAAGGCTCAGTCTCAGCTCTCAGCCTCTCCTCATACATAAGATGCTCCAGTCCCTTTGTGGCTCTTTGCTGGACTCGCTCCAGTAAGTCCATCTCTTTCTTGTACTAGGGAGCTCAGAACTGGACTTGACACTCTGCATGGATCACCTCCCTCCATCTGCTGGCAATGCTCTTCCTAATGCAGCTCAGGATGCTCTTGGCCATCCTTGCCATGAGGGTGCATTGCTGGCTTATGCTCAACTTGCTGTCCACTAGGATCCCAATCCCTTTCTGCAGGGCTGCTTTCCAGCCAGTTGGCACCCAGCATGTACAGTTACATGGGATTATTCCTGCCCAGGTGCAGGGCTTCACATTTCCCCTTGCTGAACTTCATGAGGTTCCTCTCTGCCCAATTCTCCAGCCTGTCGAGGTCCCTCTGAATAGCAGCATAACCCTCTGGTGTATCAACTACTCCTCACAGTTTTGTACCATCAGCAAACTTGCTGAGGGTATACTCTGCTCCATCATCCAGATCATTAATGAAGCCATTGAACAGGATCGGATCCATTTTTGACTCTGGGAGTACACCACTAGTGACTTGCCTCCTACTGGACTTTGTGCAACTGATCACCACCCTCTGGGCACAGACATTCAGCCAGTTTTCAGTTGATCTCACTGTTTACTTATTTAACCCATACTTTGCTTCTCCATTGGGATGTTATGGGACACGAAGTCCAAAGCCTTACCAAAGTCAAGGAAAACAACATCCTGCTTGATCCATGCTTGACTTCCTGCTTGTCAGGATAGACCATTTTTGAGCTTGGACGAGATGAATCCTGAATATCAACCAGCTCTCTTGGATCCCTCTTCTCTCCAGTACTGTATCCCACGGGATTCTTCCAAGCAGATCTCTGAGGAGGCCAAAGTCTATTCTCCTGAAGACCACAGCTGAGGTCCTGCTTTTTGTCCTGCTCCCTCCTCTCAGGATCCTGAACTCCACCTCGTGGTAACTGCAGCCAAGGCTGCCCCCAGCTTCGACATCCACAACCAGTTCTTCCTCGTTTGTAAGTATCAGGTCCAGCAGAGCACCTCTCCTTGTTGGCACCTCAATCAATTGTGTCAGGAAGTTGTCATCAATGGACTCCAGAAATCTCCTAGATCACTTGTGCCCTGCTGTTGTCCTTCCAGCAGATTATCAGCATCATTGTAGTCCCCCATGAGGACCAGACCTGTGAACATGAGGCTTCTTCCAGTTGTCTGAAGGCGGCCTCATCTACTTCACCCAATTCTCCTCCATGCCCTTCCCTCTTACTGGCAGGATCAAGGATAACACCACCTGGGTCCCCACACCCTTGACCATCACCCCCAGAGTCATATAGTCACACGTAACACTTCCCAGGTCACTCCAACAGTATCACTGGTGCCTATGTGGAAGAGCAGCAGGTGGTAACAGAGGGCCAGAAAAGCCTCGGCAGCCTCCCTATAACATCCTGAATATGACCTCCCAACAAGCAGCAAAGCTCTCCAGATGACAGGTTAAGTCAGCAGCAGCAGCTGAACTTCAGGCTAAATTCTTAGGCCACGTCAAGATACAGATTTTTATGCCTTCAACTGTAAGTTACAGCAGCTGGAAAAAAAAAAATTTAGAATGGAACTAGACTTGTGTTGGCATTTATTAATGCTAATGCTGCTTCTTTAAGCAACTTACATTTGCAGCACAACTTTTCATCCAGATTCAATTCCCTCAAGCACATGGGTAAGACTAAGCAGCATCACAGCAAGCCTGTAA